ATGGGACGAAATTCTTAAGGCATCTACCTACGAAAATGTTGTGCTAATGCGAGATTTCAACTATAGACAGATTGACTGGAGTAATTTGACAGGAAATTTAGAGTCAGGTGACTTTCTTGATACGATCCAGGATTGTTTTTTAAAACAGTTTGTGACAGAGCCAACTAGGGGAAATAACCTCCTTGACTTGGTTCTTGCCAGTAGGGAAACACTAATTAATAATCTTGAGGTTAATGATGAGCTTGGGGAAAGTGATCACAAATCACTCAGTTTTAATATATCATGGAATTCCCCTAATAATGGCAATCAAGTCTCTGTCCCTGACTTTCGCTTGGCTGATTTCATAGGACTGAAAAATTACTTAGGTGGGCTGAACTGGAATGACCTGACTAAGGGTCAGGTAGGTGGTGATGGTTGCCGATATGACGCTTTCCAGGGCATAGTTCTAGCTGCTCAGTCAAATTATGTTCCAAATGGGGAAATCAGATCAAACAAAATGATCCTAAATGGATGAACAATAGATTAAAATATATGATTGGTCAAAAGAGAGGCATATATAGGCAAATCAAAAGAGGAGAGGGGCAATTAAGAAATCGATATATTCAGTTAAAGAGAGAAAAAAGGGAATTAGAAAAGCAAAAAGAGATTATGAGGTTAAAATTGCAAGAGAATCGAAGACTAACAGAAAAGGATTCTTTCAGGTATACAGAAGTAAGATCAGGGACAAGATAGGCCCACTCAAAAGTTCCTCGGGTCAGCTCACTGACAGTGATAAGGAAATGTGTAGAATTTTTAACACATACTTCCTCTCAGTTTTTACACAGGAGGATACCAGCGATATTCCAGAAATGATAAATTATGTAGAACAGGACGATAATAAACTGTGCACGATTAGGGTCACAAGTGACATGGTCCTTAGGCAAATAGATAAATTAAAACCCAACAAATCCCCAGGCCCTGATGAACTGTATGCAAGGGTTCTAAAGGAATGTAAAGAGGAGCTTAGCAAACCTTTGGCTAATCTTTTCAACATATCACTACAAACTGGCATGGTGCCAGATAAGTGGAAAATGGCAAATGTGATGCCTATTTTCAAAGCAGGTGACAGGTCCTTAGCTTCGAACTATAGACCAGTAAGCCTAACCTCCATAGTGGGAAAATTTATGGAATCAATAATTGCAGAGGCAGTTCGTAGCCACCTTGAAAAGCATAAATTAATCAACGAATCTCAGCATGGTTTTACAAAGGGGCGTTCCTGCCTTACGAATTTATTAACTTTTTTCACTAAGGTATTTGAGGAGGTAGATCATGGTAATGAATATGATATTGTGTATATGGACTTCAGTAAGGCTTTTGACAGGGTCCCACATCAGAGACTATTGAGGAAAATTAAGGCACATGGAATAGGAGGAGAAATTTTTTCCTAGATAGAGGCATGGTTGACAAATAGGCAGCAGAGAGTTAGCATAAATGGGGAGAAACCAGAGTGGGGAAGCGTCACGAGCGGTGTTCCACAGGGGTCAGTGTTGGGCCCCCTGCTGTTCACAATCTACATAAACGACATAGATGAGGGCATAAAGAGCGACATCAGCAAGTTTGCCGATGGCACCAAAATAGGCCGTCGAATTCATTCTGATGAGGACATTAGAGCACTCCAGGAAGATTTGAATAGATTGATGCAGTGGTCGGAGAAGTGGCAGATGCAGTTTAATATAGTCAAATGCAAAGTTCTAAATGTTGGACAGGACAATAACCATGCCACATTTAAACTAAATAATCTAGATCTTAATATTACGGATTGCGAAAAAGATTTAGGAGTTCTGGTTAGCAGTAATCTGAAACCAAGACAACAGTGCATAAGTGTTCGCAATAAAGCTAATAGAATCCTTGGCTTCATATCAAGAAGCATAAATAATAGGAGTCCTCAGGTTGTTCTTCAACTCTATACTTCCTTGGTTAGGCCTCATTTAGATTATGCTGCACAGCTTTGGTCACCGTATTACAGAATGGATATAAATGCTCTGGAAAATGTACAATGGAGGATAAAGTTGATCCCATGTATCAGAAACCTTCCCTATGAGGATAGACTAAGGGCCCTGAATCTGCTCTCTCTAGAAAGACGTAGAATTAGGGGGGATATGATTGAGGTGTATAAATGGAAGACAGGAATAAATAAAGGGGATGTAAATAGTGTGCTGAAAATATCTAGCCTAGACAGGACTCGCAGCAATGGTTTTAAGTTGGAAAAATTCAGATTCAGGAAGGATATAGGAAAGTACTGGTTTGGTAATAGAGTTGTGGATGAGTGGAACAAACTCCCGAGTACAGTTATAGAGGCCAGAACGTTGTGTAGCTTTAAAAATAGGTTGGATAAATACATGAGTGGATGTGGGTGGGTGTGAGTTGGACCTGATAGCTTGTGCTACCAGGTCGGTTGCCGTGTTCCTCCCTTAAGTCAATGTGACCTGACCTGACTAGGTTGGGTGCATTGGCTTAAGCCGGTAGGAGACTTGGACCTGCCTCGCATGGGCCAGTAGGCCTGCTGCAGTGTTCCTTCGTTCTTATGTTCTTATGTTCTTATAAACACATTAATTTCTTGCACAACACAAATAATAAACACCAGCAAATGCAATGTTATGGAAATCGTAAAGGACAAAGACTTTTGTAAACGTGTACAGCCTCAGGGGACAATGTAAACCTCCCTGAAAGAGAAGGATCACGGGGTGAGCATAGTTCCAAGCATATCGCCTGAGACACACAGCCTAGTAACCGCTGCAGCAAACGTGAGACTGACAAATGTAAGTGTTGATCTCAGGAACATCAACACTGGTCATCTTGGAGTATCAGTAAACCAATATGGAACCCACATTTGGTTAAGCATATGATAAAGCTGAGCAAAGTGAGAAGGTTTGCAACAAAACTAGTCCCAGATCTGAAGGTTATAACATAGGAGAAACTAGGGGGTTAAATCTGATTATACTAGATGACAGAAGGACCAGAGATATGATTAAGACGTACAAATGCTCAGAGGAATTGACAGATTGGACAGGGAAAGTCTGAGAAGCGGATCTCAGGTGCACGAGAGATCACAGCTGAAAGTTAAAAGAACAAATGAATCACAGAGATGTTAGAAAATATTCCTTTTGCTTTATTGTGGTCAGTAAGTGGAATGACCCAGACAGCGAAGTTGTAAAGACAGTATCTATACATAGCTTCAAGAATATGCATGATAAGGCTCAAGCAGCCATGAAAGAGTAAAACCAGTAGCGGCCAGCAGAATTGCAGGGCCAGGAGCCGAGACTCGACCTCTACAACCACAATTAGAAAAGTACACAGACACATTACTCCTCATTAACACTACGTCTCCAAAACTTCCACAACAACCCTTTTCCTTTCATCATTTTTACATTCCTAACAAACCCTAACATTGTGACCTAAGCTTCACATTTAGACATAAACCACACAATCACCTACTCAACCCCAGTTGGCAACCTTATAAATCACACGACTACTTACCCTGAATTATCCTTCTCCTGCCTAAACCTCCGTTAAAAATTTCCCATTCAGAGGTAAATGATTATAACAGTCAGGAAGGTTATTTTACCTGTAAAATTTTATTGTGTCCACCGAGGCTACGAAGCCTCACTCACATCTCGTCCTTATTGTAACTGAGAAAACTCAGAGCTGTACTTAGTTCTTACTACATGTTAGGTAAATGGACATTGATGCAACTAATGTGACATTTTCTTGTAGCAACGTTTCGCTCTTCAGGATCTCTGTCAAGCCCTGAAGAGCCAAAAGTTGTCATAATCAAATGTCACATCAGCTGCATCTGTGTCTATTTTCTTAACATTTTGTAGGTAATTCTACCATTATTAATACATCAAAGTTAGTATGGTGTCAGCTGTATAAAAGTGAGAAGCGAATAAGTTATCGTGTTGAGCACAAATTGAAGTAAATGTTATCCTCTCTTATGTCACTGATATAATTATACGTGTGTGTAAGGAAATCAAAACATTTACTTTTAAAGCAAGGAAGCTTCCATCTGGCTCAAGGTGTAAAATATATTGAATTTTGAACTGTGAGTCATTAACAGTATGAAATAATATCGTGAGAAAGTTAAAAGGTTGAATTTTTGTAAGTCTGTGATCAGTCGTGAAGGTTGTGGCTTAACCTTTATAAAAACAGAAGAGAGTCATATAGAGGATTGAAGTGAGAGACGGTATTGTACTGATGGTATTTAGTGAAACAATGAATTCACGTGGGTTATTCAGAATCAAGAATGGCTGAGGATGAACCCTCCGTATATTACCAAATAAGTTGTAAGTGAGAGAGAACAGAGAGGCAGAGTAGTGCGTTTCCTGCCTGCTTGCAGCATGCCATGTGATCCCATAGTCTCCTGTGGGATCACATCTTACACTCAGCTCATAATACGCTCTTTTTTTTATTCACTCTTTGAGAAACGGAACTCTCGTTCATTCTCAAATTGGGATCCAAACTTTCATTCTATTCCCTCAGCATACTGAATGAATATATTGTATTATCCCTGTGTCTGATCCTCAGAATCGCATCTACTGTCCTTTTGCCTTCATTGAGTCTTACTGTTACCTGTTTCCTGAGAGTAAGATTCCGAAAGAGACCCATAAATATTTAGTGATGGGCTAGTGTTGTATATTCATTCCTCTCATAGCCCTTTAAAACAGTCAAAGAATTTAGTGGAAACTAAACAAATTTAATTTGGAACTGATAATAAGCCTTGAGATTATAATAATGCTAATTCTCAAGCTTAAATTATGAAGGCACATTATGTTGGTCTTAAAGTAAGTAAATCAGTTATTTTATGGTACGACTGATTGTTTTTCATGTTAACTAAGTATCTTACGGACTCTTTAAATTAGTTTCCAAACATAAATAAATATCAAGAAATCTCATTTGCGTGACTGTTGTGATTAATATATTTTACCGAATTATAATAAACAAAAGGGGTGATGTTTTAGGATTAATTTCAATTTCCCTTTTTAAGATATCCTCCGTCATTTGTAACATGAATTTCTTGCACTTCATACTTTTTTAGATATTAGAATAAGTAAAATATAATTCATTGTTGCAAATTTATTTACAGAGCTTTATTCAACAAATTTAAGTTCATAACCTTATATCAATGTCACTGTTCATTTAACCATAGACAGGAACTGGAGTGTAGGTCTGGTGTGTTGGGTGCTGGGCCTGGCCCTGGTAAGTCACTTCGACCACGTAGCCAGAGTCACCGTTAACAGTGTAGACTACATTTTCAACACGACCATCGGGAAGAAGCACGTGATAAGAGCCATGAGTGTTGTCGCCGTCACGGGACTCTTGTTGACCGTAGTCGTTACCTGACTGGTCGTCTTTGACGGTCCAGTTGAAGTCGTACCGAGCAGGAACCTGAAAAAAAAATGCCAGTATAATGTTTTTTGTGATGGATCTCATTTGACTGACCAAAGGCAGGTTCATTGCATATCTTATTATCATGTTCGTCTTCAGCATTTTGTTTTAAATATAGCTTCAAAGATATATATAGAAAATCTTGTGCAATTTGGATGATACATACCTGAGGACCAGGAACGCCGTATGTGGGGGTTGGTGGTTTATAGGTGCTATGAGACTGAGGGTGGGACATCGTCCCTGCCACAAACAGTGCCACAAATGCAACCTGCCAAAGTTTACAATGTTTATTATTAAAATCTTTTTGAGTATACAATGAAATACGTTTAGAGTATTTATATTTACATTGGTAAAAAAAAAAAAAAGATGAGTGTGACAGTAAATCAGGTGGGTTTAAGTTAGAAAACAAACAACAAAATCGTGAGAAGGTGGGTATACCCTCAACATCTTATGTTATTTGATTTTTTGTCAGTAAGGAAGATAAGAAGGTTAAGAATACTTTAGTTGCTTAAAATATTAGCACTATACTCATGGGTGCAGTAAATATGACAACCCTATCACTGTACCTTGAGAAACATGTTTAGTGACTAAGTGGGATGTGACTGAGGCTTCTGCATGAATCCAGTGACTTATATACCAGGAGCCTCACTCCAAGTTCATGACGTCATAGCCTTGACAGTTATTTGTGTCGTCCAGCAACATAATTATGTTATAACTCTGCTGCCGCCGGGTCACCATCTGGAGAAGACCTGGGCCGGGACAAGACCGGTGAACCTACTACAATGCAAACTCTGCTGCATTTTCTTTGAACAGCAAGAAAATGAACAGAATAAACAGGATAGGTAAAACTTGCGATTCTAGCTTAAATAGCAACGCTTTTCTTGCCGAATAAGGGAAGCGAAAATTTGCGTATTCAAAAATTTCGCAAAAATCGGTCTGACCCTAACAAAAAATATATATTTCATTGTGTTTGCTTATTATTAAATTATTTTAAACTTATCTAAAATATATTTAGTTGGCTTATGCTAAATCAAATTGCGCTTGTTATAATAATGTTAGGTAAGTTTTCTAAGGTTCTTCTAATACATGTCGTGCTAAATAGATAAAAATTGGTCACTAAGCAAGAACTCATTTAAAAATTAAGTCCTTTCTAAAATTTTCTCTTCTACGTTCAAAGATACTTTTTTTCACGTAAAAAAATTAATAATTTTGTTCCAAAAGAACCTTTAAAAATTACCTAACCTTATTTTAGCACTCGCAATTAAATTTAGCAAAATCGAACTAAATATATTTTAGATAAGTCTACTGTAATTTAATAATAAACAAACACAATGAAATATATTTTTACCGTTAGGTTCAGAATGATTTTTGCGAAATAATAGCATACGCATATTTCGCTTGCCTTATTTGGCAAGAAAAGCGTTCCAATTTAAGTCAAAATTGCAAGCTTTACCTATTCGGCACAACATATATATTATTGTTGTGGTTTATTCTGTTCATTTTCTTGCTGTTCAAAGAAAATGCAGCAGAGTTTGTATTGTAGTAGGTTCACCGGTCTTGTCCCGGCCCAGGTCTTCTCCAGATGGTGACCCGGCGGCAGCAGAGTAATAACATAATTATGTTGCTGGACGACACAAGTAACTGTCAAGGTTGTGATGTTATGAACTTGGAGTGAGGCTCCTGGTATATAAGTCACTGGATTCATGCAGAAGCCTCAGTCTCATTCCACTTAGTCACTAAACATGTTTCTCAAGGTACAGTGATAGGGTTGTCACCCATGTGTATAGTGCTAATATTTTAAGCTACTAAAGTATTCTTAGCCTTATTATCTACCATACTGACACAAAATTAAATAACATAAGGTGATGAGGATATACCCAACCTTACACGATATTGTTGTTATCTGTTTTTTTTTAATTTAAATCCATCTGATTTATTGTGATACTCATCTTTTTTCACCAAAATAAATATAATTAACTCTAAAAGTAATTAATCATATACTGAAAGATTTTAATAATAAACATTGCAAACTTTCTCAGGTTGCATTTATGGCACTGTTTGTGGCAGGGACGATGTCCCACCCACAGTCTTATAGCACCTACAAGCCACCAACCCCCACATACGGCGTTCCTGTTCCTCAGGTATGTGTCATCCAAATTGCACAAGATTTTCTGTATATCTTTGAAGCTATATTTAAAACAAAATGCTGAAGACGAGCATGATAAGATATGCAATGAACCTGCCTTTGGTCAGTCAAATGAGATCCAACACAGAAAACATATTACTAGTATTTTTTTTTTCAGGCTCCTGCTCGGTACGACTTCAATTGGACCGTCAAAGACGACCAGTCAGGTAACGACTATGGTCAACAAGAGTCTCGTGACGGCGACAACACCCATGGCTCTTATCACGTTCTTCTTCCCGATGGTCGTGTTGAAAATGTAGTCTACACTGTTAACGGTGACTCTGGTTACGTGGCCGAAGTGACTTACCAGGGCCAGGCCCAGCACCCAACACACCAGACCTATACTCCAGCTCCTGTCTATGGTTAAGTCAACAGTGACATACATTTAAGGCTATTTATTAAAGTGTTTTGAGTAGTTATACTAAATAAATATGCAACAATTAACTGTATGTTAATTTTCCTCGTGTCTAGAAACTTTGAGGTTTGCAGAAATTTCAAGTTAAATCAAGGATAGATACTTTATAGAAGAGAAGGAAATTTATAACATTTATAGCATCACAGTTTTCATGATGCTACAATAACACTTCTATAATGAGAGCAGTCAAAGCAGACATCGTGTTGCTTATTTATATTGGCAGACTAACTACATCAAAGGTTTGTTATTAATGTTGGTTGATTTGATTTCTTAATGAGATTATATAGACTTCGTAACCTATTTTAATTCCTTAATTAGGGAAGTAACCACTCAGTGTTTATACACTTCAAGAGTGTATCAGTCTGTAGTGGAAGGAAGGCGGGGTAGGGGTCGGCCTAGGAAGGGTTGGAGGGAGGGGGTAAAGGAGGTTTTGTGTGCGAGGGGCTTGGACTTCCAGCAGGCATGCGTGAGCGTGTTTGATAGGAGTGAATGGAGACAAATGATTTTTAATACTTGACGTGCTGTTGGAGTGTGAGCAAAGTAACATTTATGAAGGGATTCAGGGAAACCGGCAGGCCGGACTTGAGTCCTGGAGATGGGAAGTACAGTGCCTGCACTCTGAAGGAGGGGTGTTAATGTTGCAGTTTAAAAACTGTAGTGTAAAGCACCCTTCTGGCAAGACAGTGATGGAGTGAATGATGGTGAAAGTTTTTTCTTTTTCGGGCCACCCTGCCTTGGTGGGAATCGGCCAGTGTGATAAAAAAAAAAAAAAGGTATATATAAAATGGGTATATACATCTCTCGGTGTATATATCTGCGTTAGTTACTCTTTCTTGAAGATCTATATGTAGTACTGCACCAAAACTTAATCCATTGATTAGACATAATAAATAAATAACGATGATTTACAAGTAGGTTTTCATATTGAAATAGCAAAAGCATTTTTTCTTATTATGGTAAATGGCAATGTTATTACACACGAAGAATTCCGGCAATAGAAAGGTACAAATGAAACTAATTTAAATATATTTACCTGTACTAAAAATATGAAAAAAATAGCTAATTCAATTATTTTATTTCATGATTAAAATATTGTGCCAATAAAGCTTGGTCTGGAACAATAATTCAATTTATCATGAGCTTGTTATTTAGTATGAATTCAGGATGGATTTTTTTTTTAATTTTCTCTAAATTCCGTAAATGTTTTAAAGCTTTTAAAAAATATGATGCTGGACAACAGAGAGACCTATCGCAAAATATTTATTCGTATTCATAACCATAATAGTAAAATTTGAAAAAAATATTGCTAAGTCTTTGAACAATTGTTGTAGCATTCATCAGGGAGAGTTAAACCTCTTGGAAGATGGGAGGAAATCAGATTCGAATCAAGGAAAGAGTTCTCATTATTTTGGCTCTAGAGCTTACACTGGCATCAATGTGCTTCCCTGAAAGTTTTAGAGAATTGATGCTACCTCGTCAGGCATAGAGACTGAAAATATAATAGATGTATACAGCATGCTGGTGCTTGAGTGAAGGAAATGAAGCTTGGTTAGTGAGTGAATAAAAATGAGAGTTTGGTTCTCGATTAGTGAATGAGAGTTTAATTTTCTTTATTAAATGTATAGAAAGCATGGGTGTGGATGATGAGGTCGAAGAAGCTCAGGAACAAGAAACCTCATGATTAGAAACCATTACAGTTCTCATGCATACACACAGATTTACGTTTAGTGAAATTCTTCCCAAGTTGTGTATAATTTAAGGCACTAAAATTATCCCAAATGGAAAACGCAATACGTGTATAAAAACCGATCTCTGGCTGATGCTACTTAAATCTGAAATAATGATGATAATAGTCAAATAATTCTTAATGTGCCACAAATACTAAATATGTTCTCCAAATTATATATTAGAACCAAAATATGATAATTCAGTTAAAATATTGAAACATAAATACGTGTAAGAATAAAACTGACCCGGTCTTAGACATCTGACGATAGAATTTTTGGGAGACAAAGTTCAAGACAAGAGACCCCGGGTTTTTTTTTAGGTTACGCTGGCTAAAATATCAGCGTGGTTTAATATCGGTGTTTTTGTAATTATTAATATGTAATGGCATAACAAATTACTCAGTCTTCTGCGAAAGAATCAAATGCGTGAAATGAGAGAAGGAGTGGCAATGTATGTAGACTCTGTTAAATCTCACCAGACGCAGTTGGTCAAGTTCTGACACGCACTTTTATTTAATACAGATTCTTGGCTACGGTTAGAGTTTCAAGAGCAAGAACTAGGGTATCTATAAAGAAGTATATATATAATCGCAAACAGGTGATCTTAATGCAGAACAAGTCACATGATGAAAATCTTTAGATCTTTCGCACTCCCCATGCGTCGTCAGGAGCTATGCAATGATACAAAACAGCAACAGATAGGAGGGGAAATTCTCTGAGGCAGAAGGTATCAAAGACCAGTCATTCTCTTAATATTTATTGGAGTGCACCCATCCTCATGCTTAAACAACTAGTATGAGGATGCCAACTCTCAAACGGACTGTGATAAGTCCCGCTTTGTCTTGGACGAAAGTTATGGAATCAACTCAATTGTAATTTAAAATGGTGTTAGTAATGAAATGCAATCCATACATACTAGGTGTATTTCCTCGTGCTGTCCGCCATCATTCCCTCTTTTAAACCTGTAATCCACAGTGGAATATTCTCTTTCTGCACAAAAACACTTAACCATAAGTCTCGGTTATTCATTTATCAGTGATAACCATGATGCAGTGTTCACAATGTTAACATCGCATGAACAAGTAAAGCTGAACAATGTTCTCAATGTTCAGCAGCTTCATAAAACAAGTTTAAAAGTCATGAAGTGACATTGAAGAGATTTACTCGGAAGGTTAATGTCACCAGTTAGTTGATCACCGGAGAGGATGGTAATGTGTAATGTTGATATTAATGTGATAAATACATCCGCCAGTTCAAAATAATAAATAATCAAGCACGCTTTAGAAAAACTAAAATTTCCGAAGACGAAATTTTAAATTAACATAAGAACAAGAACACCAACAATAATAATAACATAATATAAATAAAAGTAATAACTTATCTATATTTTATTACTTTTTATCATTATTAGTTTTAGTGCTGTTGTTGTTGGTTACTGTGTCTTTGCAAAGAATATTCAGCATATTTAAAATATAATTACAGTGCGGGTCCCCACAAGCAGCCCTCAAGGTTGTGACGTCATGAACTTGGAGTGAGGCTCCTGGTATATAAGTCACTGGATTCATGCAGAAGCATCAGTCTCATCTTAGTCACTAAACATGTTTGTCAAGGTACAGTAGCATTGTTTATTACTATGATCAGTGTTTTAATCATTTTAATGCTTACATAACGATGATATCAGCATTCGAATTATTTTTAGGTTTCAGTTGACGTAAGATGTTGTGGTTACACCCAGCCTCTCAAGATTTTGTCAAAATTTTTTTTTTAATTTTAAAGAAATTACTTATTATTGCACTTATTATTTTCAAAAACCATAAATATAAATATCCCTGGAAGTTGTTACTAATACAAAAAGACGTAGAAGCTGAAACTGAAACACTTTGGCAGGTTGTGTTTGCGGCAGTGTTTGTGGCAGTGGTGATGGGTGTTCCCCAGTCTTACCCTTCTTACCCTCCCACCCCAACATACGGCGTTTCTGGTCCTCAAGTGAGTATCGTTCACAGTGTTCAAGATTTTCTCTATATCTTTGAGGTTGTATTTATATGAAAATACTGAGCCCCAAGAGGTATATTGCTTGTTTTGCCAAGTAAGCAATATCCAACACAAAAAAAATATAACACTAACATTCTTTTCAGGCTCCTGCTCGGTACGACTTCAATTGGACCGTCAAAGACGACCAGTCAGGTAACGACTTACGGTCAACAAGAGTCTCGTGACGGCGACAACACTCATGGCTCTTATCACGTGCTTCTTCCCGATGGTCGTGTTGAAAATGTAGTCTACACTGTTAACGGTGACTCTGGTTACGTGGCTGAAGTGACTTACCAGGGCCAGGCCCAGCACCCAACACACCAAACCTACACTCCAGTTCCTCTCTATGGTTAAATGAACAGTGACATTAATATAATGTTATTTATTACAAGTTTTTCTCTTAATGTAATTAAATCAATGTGCAACTTTGAATTACATCTTACTTTTCCTGATATCTTAAAAGAATGAAGGGTGCAAGAAGTTTGAATTAACCAGCGAGCACCGAAACTCTGTATACAGTTTTCTTCCGATTAATTCTGAACCAGAATTAGAGTAAAATGTATATTGTTTAATAGCCTGAAAGGTAATATCAGTCGGCATGGTCAGTACCGTAGTTCTCTGCAGCATATTTCAGGTTTGTCTTATCAGAATCGTCAGGTAGAAGTTCTTTAGCGTCTTCTGCTAGAATGTCAATAGAGAAATTGGCTGACCATGTTATCGTTACACTACAGAGGCTCTTCATTGTCCTTCCAACCATGGCCTTTCCATGGTTTGCGCATCTCGGAAATAGGGATATTGGCGGCCTTCCAGATTCTTGTTTGGTAGTTTTCTCTGGCAATATGTTCCTTAAAGCAAGCTTTGCTAGGTGGTAATCTAGAAAGGTCCATGGTCCTCGATGTTAGACTATCCATAGTTACACCTCCATCACATTTGAATATTCAGCATAATGTAACGCACATTATCAATACTTATTATATTTTCCCTTTCCATAGACAGCACAAGTGAAATTCTCACGTCCTTCAAGTTGCTCATCACTCATCTCCCACTGCTCATCAAGTCGCTTGAGTCTCACAATGTGTTGGTGAGTTGAATAGTTTTAGTGCTTTGATCTTTCTAGTTTCTTTGAATGAGCTGACTGAATCGCAACCAGTAAATGCATAAACAACCAACAGTGCAATATATAGGTTTTCACTGTTGTGCAGTGACAATTGTGATGTTAAGGTACCTTTTTTTGTTCTCATGTCCTGTATCAGAGAATATAGTGAGATTGATTGGCCTTCCATGATTAAAGCAGGATTCAAAATCTTTTATTATCATGGCTTCGCACTCACACAATCATAACCGCTTTCTGCAACATAGTTAAAGAATAGCACCGCTTTGCTATCATTTTTCCTCCTGACTGCTCCTCAATTCCGTTATGATTATTACATCTATGCCAAGGGACTTCCCATTTCTGATGAGGATGACCTTCTTGTCTTTGACTTATTCACTTCAGCAGGTTTGCATCGCTGCAATCAACTGTTACTTGTCTTCCTAATTGACTAGAAGGCTCTTCCAGTTCCCTAGCCCTTTTATCGTAGGTCCCTTGACAATTAGTTTCTCTGATTCACCTATTCTCTTGAGTTCTAAAGCTATGACTAAACCTTTTGATGTATGAAGCTGTGCTAAGTATCACATTCACATAATTCTTGGTCATCATGTGGAGTTCTGTGCATATTTGTTTAAAGGTATCAAGAAATTCTTTGAGGTGATAAAACAGTGCATTTCCATCTTCCACAAGTCAGAACATTTTCAGTGGACACTTTTCATCTTAGATTTTCTTCATCAGGATTGACATGTTTGCAGCATTGTTTATTTTAGCCAAGACCCATCAGCTTTGCTTGTGTTGGATGGGACAGGTGTGAGAGCATACTTAATGACTTCTGCTGTGTCGATCTGAAGAGTTCTTGATTTCACAAGAATTTTGGACACATATTGCCCTGGTGTTTATATTGGACCATCTTGCTCTTAGAGGAGAGGAGTTAAGTATCGCTTTCTTCTTTGCATCAGCAATAGGTTTAAGACCCATCTTTTTAATGGGTTAACTTCTTTAAGCCCATGTGATTTAAGCACCTAATGACACATTACATGGTTTGATTTTTCTATTGTGTGTGTGATCGACCTAACGGGCACAGGAAGCTGGAAAATGTTTCCATTGTCTTCTGTACATCCTGCTAACTCCTCTGTATTTCAGCATTAGACGTATCCTTGTGTGTATCTGAGTCAACCCATGTCTGCCATAGAAATTTTTTCAGCAAGGAACTTGGATTTTTCATGAGTGGTCAGTACCCAGCGTTGTTATGCAGCATTATTCCTTGTGATTCCTGAATGGTCAGCACCAGATGCTCCTCCATAAGACTTGCAGTGCTTCATGAAAGTCTCCTCCATTGTATTGTCCACATCCATTGTATTGTCCACATCCATTGTATTGTCCACATCCTAACGACACCCAGGCACCATGGATCGTGCTACATTAAGGCTCCCAGTTGAAAACCTCTGTTGCTCCAGAATGTGTTTGCTCGATATTTGCAAGAAATGCAGCAACTATTGCTATGTACCTTGCATAGTTCTGGGCATCATATGAGAAGAGGTCTTGCATAGAGGTCAAAATCATTCCACTTCTTCACTCAACTGAAGGACTAAAGAGACACGATCCATGTAGGGTGCCCAGAACTGAGATATTTTCACACTCTGCACATTAGAAACACATCGAAATGACTAGTACCTCTCAAAATAATTAGAGATGTCTGGATAGTGCCTCTTAGCGAAGAGCTGATATCTTTCGATCCCTGCTCTTCTTGTGCAGATAGCTCTTCGAAGACAAGAATTGGTTGTATTCTTTCAGGAATTCTCTCAGAAATATCCTTTCATAACTTTCCACAAGCAGCTTATGGGACAGCATAACCTACTGCAATTCTTCACACCCAGTACTAAGTACACAGTGCTAGATCCCACCAGGTCTGTCTCTAGCACAATATCAGTGAGACCACTTCCTTCCATTTTTCTCCCAATCGACCATGTATACACACAGGTAAAATGTGCCAGTTAGAATGATATGTTCACCATACCGCTTAGGTTCATTGCATACCAGTGGAAATTCTTTCATGCATACACCTAGATCAATGGTAAAAATGGCGTATTTCAGACCTACTTCATCAATAGTTAGTTCTGGAAGTCATAGTTACTATCCAGACGACTTGATTGTAGCTCTGGTTATGTAAGTTAAAATTTTAAAGGGGTTTGATACCGGGGATCTTGCAAAAGAGGTATATAAATAAATTACTTAAAATATCCACTTCCAAGCACATTGTTTACTTGTAAAATATTAGAGGTACTAACATTAATTCAAAATTTAATGCTAAATAAGAGAAAGAATAACTTCAGTAGGTATTTATTATTCATTTACAGTGATTACTACCATACCAATAAATAGAATCAATCAAACTTAAAGGCAACAGTTGACCTCACTTTTGGGTGTAAGTGCTGCTATGTAAGAGATCAGGGTAAATTTATGGGATTTGGACTTGCCCTCGTGGGTTACAGTTGAGTTATGATTGCTTATTTAGCCGTAGACAGGAGGAGATGGGGTGTAGACGGGTGCAGGAGGCTTGGCCTCACCTTCATACGCCACCACGGCAATATAACCACCTTCACCATCGACAGTGTAAGTCACCTTCTGCACACGACCGTCAGCAAGTAGTACATAATAGCTACCCTGGGTATGGGGTCCATCACGGGTTTCCTGGTGACCGAAGTCGTTGCCGGATTCGTCGTCCTTTACTAACCAGTCGAAGTCGTACTTTGCAGGAGGCTGCAATGAGAGCGAAACAATAATATATGCATCATATGTATCAGTACAATAACCTTTAATCTATTGCGTCTTATACATGAAGAAAACAATAAAGGGGTGGAATATTGTTAGTACAAACCGCTGATCCACCAAGTGTGACTTACTCTGCAGCTAAATACAGGGACTAAAAAAGACTGTTTAAAAGAATGATTCCGGAATTCCCAAGGTTATGAAGAGCATAAAAGTTGTAGCAAACATAGTTTTACACAAATTCCAGTTTGCATCACCAGTAAACATTTTTAACGTGTCGTTACATGATTTTTTAAGGCCAACAATGAACAATATATATATATATATATATATATATATATATATATATATATATATATATATATATATATATATATATATATATATATATAAGATGCACACCTATGATATTATATATTGTCTTACCTCAAATGGGGGGCTGGGCTGACCATATGTTGGAGGTGGAGGTGGAGGTGGAGGTGGAGGTGGAGGGAGAGAATACCCGTTGGCCGGAGCTTCATCGGGGAGAGGATTAGGGCGAGCTACAGTGACTACCACGAAAGTGGTAACAATTATAGCCTGTAAAAGTTATAACGTAAATAATAGATTTGATAAATAAAATATCTTCATCTTATGTTCTTTGATTTGCAGTAGGAAAGAGACGCACCAAGAACTGGAACTGTGAACGACTAAGTACATCAACTTGTACATGAAACAGACAGGTTATTGGAAATATAACATAAAATGCAAACGCTACGACATTCTATTGGAAAAGTTTTGGCCCTCAGATCATGGTCACGTTTCCAGTAACCCAAACTTTTCCACTAAAATGCCCTAGTGTTTGTATTATTTCTGTTTTTCAACATCTCTACGCGAACCATGAACGACACCTCTTAATTGGTTTACCTTGACGGACATGTTGGGAGCAGACGAAGGTTAGAACTGATGCCCAGAGAGGGATGCTGCCTCCTTATATTTCCAGGCTCAACCTGCAGTATCATGACGTCACAACCTTGAGAGGAGAAAGAAGGACTGCATTCTTAGAGAGGTCACTTTTTTGCAATACGATGAGCCAGGAAGACATAATAATTATCCCATTATTATTCCTCCGGTTCACACCCAGTTTGCCTCGGATAATTCAGTCGTATTTTGCTGGAGCAAGAGAACGGCTGACCGCCTGCTAGACTCAGCTCTACCTCTCACTCACGTTCAGACTCCTCCTTCCTTGATTTAGCATGCTCAGGTTAGTTAACAATTCTGTCAAGATGTGAGCGAGACATATGGGAAAGTTTCTTACTCGGTAACCTGAGCATTCTCCTGAGCGAGAATGCTCAGGTTACCTGGAGTATACCTGGAGAGGGTTTCTGGGGTTAACGCCTCCCCCGGCCCGGTCTGAGATCAGGCCTCGTGGTGGATCAGGGTCTGATCAACTAGGCTGTTACTGCTGGCCCTGCACAAACTGACGTACGAACCACAGTCCGGCTGGTCAGGTACTGACTTTAGGTGCCAGGCCAGTGCCTTCTTAAAGACACCCAGGGGTCTATTGGTAATCCCCCCTTATGTATGCTGGGAGGCAGTTGAACAGTCTTGGGCCCCTGACACTTACTGTGTTGTCTCTCAGTGCACTCGTGGCACCCCTGCTTTCCATTGGGGAAATGTTGCATCTCCTGCCGAGTCTTTTGCTTACATAGGGAGTGATTTTCGTGTGCAAGTTTGGTACTAATCCCTCTAGAATTTTCCAAGTGTATATTATCATGTATCTTTCTCGCCTGCATTCTAGGGAATACAAATCAAGGAACTTCAACCGTTCCCAGTAATTTAGGTGCTTTATTGTACTTATGTGTGCCGTGAAAGTTCTTTGTACACTCTCCAGGTCTGCAATGTCGCCAGCCTTGAAGGGGCAGTTAATGTATAGCAGTAGTCCAACCTAGAGAGAACAAGCGATCTCAAGAGAATCATCATGGGCTTGGCGTCCCTACTTTTGAAGGCTCTCATTACCCATCCTATCATTTTTCTAGCAAATGTGGTAGATACATTGTTGTGGCTTTTAAAGGTGAGATCCTCTAACGTTATCACTCCCAGGTCCTTCACATTACATTTTCGCTCTATTGTATGGTTAGAATTTGTTGTGTACCCTGATACAGTTTTAATTTTCCATATCTGAGCAGTTGAAATTTCTCTTCATATTGTTTTGAGTGGCCCCTTTGAAGATCTGGTTGATGTCCACTTGGAGTCTTGCAGTGTCTTCGATGGAGGTCACTGTCTTGACAATACGGGTGTCATCAGCAAAGGAAGACACGGAGCTATGGTTTGCATCTCTGTATATGTCAGATATGAGGATGAGGAATATGATGGGTGCGTATACTGTGCCTAACATAGTTCCGGCATGATCTAGACGAGACGTATGGGTAAGCCTCCTTATACACCTGCTATAACTACGAAGTAAAAATAGAACCTGACTGAAAGCCTACTGATGCGAGCCATTTGGGGGAAAAATGCAATTTATATGCGGATGAAACTCCAGACCTTCAAGAAGTCACGTCACTGAAACAATATCAAAACATATAAAAAACAAAAATTTAAAACCTGCTATAAGGATTCATCTCCTGAGTGAAAGGTATCCGCACAGTCCTGCTTTACTAGTGAATGTTAAAAATATATATCAAGGGAGAAGGTTCGCAGAATCACCCTTTAGTATTCCTGGTACGCATTTATCATTCACTTTTGCTGGCCAGGTGAGACAGCTAGCTCTATCAAACAGGTTATTACCTCTCATAAATGCTCAACATTTGCTTCACTCGGTATGACTCGAGTACTGGTCTCTGACTCGAGTACTGGTCTCTGACTCGAGTACTGGTCTCTGACTCGAGTACTGGTCTCTGACTCGAGTACTGGTCTCTCCTGGCTATTGCGATATCTCAGTGAAAAGGATCAATATGTTCTATGGTTAAAATCAACATGTGTATTATTGTTCCCAAAATAATAATAATAATTATTATTAATTATTATTATTTATTATTATTATTATTATTATTATTATTATTATTATTATTATATTTGTTGTAGGGAAAGTTTTATTGCTTTTTAAGATTTCTATGCGTTTTTAACTATATCTTGAAAAAGCTTCTTGACAGTGACACGAAAAACTTGTCAGTGACATGACAAACTTGTGAGTGACATGACAAACTTGCTAATATTCCAGCAAAGATGCATCTTTACCAGAGACACTGCCGAACATTGTTGATATATTTTCTCCACTGTAATTAGAGCTAATGGAATGACACTGGGGTCTTTAGAAAGAGTTCGTCTGCTTGAAGAGTCTGGTTGGGTATTATATTGTCTTGGTCCTCCAATGAACTTTGGATCCTAAGTTCTAAACAACCTCTTGAAGACCTCTAACTTACTTGATGCAATACCCAAATTTAGGAATGCATATAACGCTATTTCTGTCCCTTTGCTAATTCCTATTACCACAGTTTAACGAGATTCTTTAATCCTACTGGTGATCCTCTGATTAAAGGTTGAGCGCTTTCCTTAATATTGACTTAAGGTGCTTTTAGTATTCATTTCTGTTTTGGATGCTAAAGGAGGCTTCATACCTCATGAAATAACCTAGTATGGGCAACGCCAGGAACTGTGTGAGAAAGCACAGCACCGCATGGTCACCCAATAGCTTATTCTCTATTCCATCATCTTCAGGTCATTCAGTTTTCCTCAAAAATTATATTAATATCCTTGGAAAAAATTGCTCCCTGAAAGCAGCCATTGGCAGGAGGGACGATAATTGAGGCTTCTGGACTCCTGAACGGAAGATCCTTGACAAAGATGAGGGATAAGAGGTTCTTGATACAGGGGACTGGACCTTCCTCTCTTTCCGTGGAGCTGACTGACCCCAGCGGATTTAGCACTCCCCGGGAAAGTAATGAGAGCCAGCAGCAAGGGTTCATTGACTCTTCGAGACGAATTCATAATTAGGAAGGAATGAAGACGAGAGAGACACAAGCACACATCCCAAGATCTCATCCCAGAAGATCCACTACCAAGCATGAAGTGTATACACGAAAAAAATTTAAGAGATACAAACAGTTATCTGAAAATTTAGTGTCCAATATAAAATGGATTAAATTCATCAAATATTTATTGTTTTGTTACATTGATTACTACCATTTCAATAAATAGAATCAGTCGAGTATAAATATTTATGGAGAGAAGCTGGCGTGTAAGAGTTCTGGTTTAATTGAGAGTCCTGGAACATGCCTTCATTGATTACAGGTGACTTGCAATATTAATGTTCCTTTAGCCATAAACTGGAGGAGCTGGTGTGTAGACTGGTGCGGGAGGCTTGATCGAGCCCTCGTACGTCACCACAGCTACATAACCACCTTCACCATCGACAGTGTAAGTCACCTTCTGCACACGACCGTCAGGAAGCAGCACATAGTAGCTACCCTCAGTATGAGGTCCATCACGGGTTTCCTCATGACCGAAGTCGTTGCCGGATTCGTCGTCCTTCACTAACCATTTAAAGTTGTACTTTGCAGGGGGCTGCAAATTACAAAAAAAAAATTAATATATACATGAAGTGCAACAATGTGGTTCATGTGTTCATTTGTTTCTCAAACATAAACGTAACAAAAAGATACAATACTAGAAATACGAAAGACTGATCCACTATGTACTATGTTATATATATATATATATATATATATATATATATATTATATATATATATATATATATATATATATATATATATATATATATATATATATACCCTCATATTCAGAGCTGTTTGCATATTTTCTTCTACCACCCCTATATTCTAAATTCTATGTGCACTTTAAAGGCAAAATACATTGACAAAAATACAATGGGGAATAGAACAACAAAAATAACATTTCAGAGCCTACATCTAGAATACTTCATCCAGCACCCCAGAAGTGGGTAGAATGCCCAGAATGCTGCAGGCATTTTCCCTCTGGATCGCAACACTGAGTCTCTAAAAGAGGAAGTTGGCCGCTCTGTAATCCAGTTTCTGTGACGAGATTTTCACTCAGCTCCAAGGGTCTCTGACCCTAGTGCGATGAAGTTATAGCAAAGGGACAGGCCTTCATATCTGCGGATTTTATGGGTCTCCCTGTAGCTGGCAGCTCCACTCCCTTCAACTTCAGAGTATGGCAAGTAGGTGTCCGCTAAACTGGCGGCACAGGTGTAGTCCCAGGAAACCTGCTTTCCCTACGTTCAGGGTAGCATAGTGACTCCATCAGGATGCTTTTTACTTCCATTAGACCTCTGTACTTGGGGTTCCCGTTCAGCTGGGCAACTGGCTGTGGCGAGATATCTCTTTATGATGTCGTTGATCTCCTCATATCTAGCATACTTCCCTTTAAATGCATGACACACGAGACCATTAAGTCCAAATTGATCAGCCGACATCCTGCCGCAATTACACCTATGTTCGGTGAGTATGGGGGCGGCTAGGCGAAGAGCAACACCAACCCGAATGGCCTGTGGGTCGAGTCGTGTGCCCAGGGAGGAATTGGGAACAGCTAAAAGGAAATCTCCTGAATGTAGTGCCTTCACCGCTAGGATGCGAGCTATGTCCTCTCATGAATCGTTGGAGAGTACTGTGTTGGCAATTTTTTTGATTATCGGTTTGTCCCAAGGGACTGTTTGTGCTCTTTGGGAGGAACTGGTCTGCTTGAGGGGTCTACAGAGGTGTCCCACAGCATGGCTGCTTCAATGAACCTGGGGTCTTGAGCTCCTACTGCACCTCTCAAACATTCGGGGACAATCTCCTTGACTAGTCCACACTGAAAGCCAAACACGAGGACAAAAATGCAGGTATAGCTACCTGCGTTGCCTTGCGCACCCCTATACCTCCCAGTCGCACTGGAGAAGTTGCCTGATCCCATTGCTGACCTTCCAGTGACAGATTCAGTGTC